TGCAATTAGTTAGCTTTTATGTTGTTTTTGTTTTTAAACTCCATACTATACATCATTGGATTTTGCCTTTCCTTTCTTTTTCAGTTTTAGCTGTGCCTCATCCACAGCACGTGATGGGGGAATGGGGCACAAAGTAGCCCACTGTGTGGGCCTCTGCATGTACATAGTGACCTTTTACCCAATTTAGAATATATATTTGTACACAGCCAGGCATGCACAAAATAGCAACTGTTATGCATTTCTTTTTTATATAGCTGTGTGTGTACATGGCAGGGACTTCCAATGCAAAGGCTTTTGGACTGAACACTCTTTTTTTTTTAACACAGGCACTGTAACAAGGAGATGATTTCTGATAGAGATGTGGATCTTTCAGTGTTGAGTGATTAAATTCAGAAACAAATTGGTCTAGCAAAAAAGCTAAGAGATTCTGTTTAAATTATGACTGAGAAGAGGAAAATGTAGTATAAACAAACAGAACATTAATTTAAAACGGTCTATAAGGTTCAAATTTACTTTAAAAAGGAAAAAATAAATAGATGTGCATAAAATTCTGTAGCATAAATTTGCAGCATCAGGTTAGCGTAGCTGTCTGAATTTTCTTCAATAAAAATGTGTCAGAATTATTTAAAATGCACAAAGTGTGCAAAGATGGCCTTCTACGGTATCCGAGTGGAAGAATAATGCGACTTGCTGAATACTCGCAAAAACGTTCAACTTGAACACCTTTGAATTGTTTTTTCATTTTGAATCAATTCAGATTTCCCACGACTATTTTTTTTTATTTTTCTGAATTTATGTTTAATGTTTGCAACCCCTAAAATTTGAAGACTTTTTTTTTCCTCTGGCATTTATTGGGAGTCAATTACATAACAAATATTACAAAGAACTTTCGAAGGTTTTGATTTAAAAACAAAAAAACAAAAAAAAAACTGGTTTAAGCCGATAAACATAAAATACCAATATCACTCATTTGCTATAAACTCAACCAAAGATGGCTGACTTGTCACTCAGCAGCTCTGACTGCCAATTTATGCATCACATCTTGTTTCCTGTGTGGTTAAACATGCTCTGTCGTCTACAAACCAATTGCAAGTGCGTCTCGTTTTTACTACTTGGAAGCGGTTCATGATCGCAGAACCAGTTTGCAAATGTCAACTGTAATTTGCATGCCTTCCGGACGATGTAGTCATGACAGCCCTACAAGCAGCTGCTTTGGTTTGATGCCAAGTTTTACCTGCTTCCTTTTTGAAATCACCCCCAACCCAATTTGTTTATCTACTTTGAGGGCCCATTAAAGTCAAATTCCTTTTTTACTTTTATTTTCTTATCCTGTTCTGCATTTATTCATTCTTTTCTAGAACAAGTCAGGTGAAAATCCAGAAATCTGGAATGTAAAAACTGAAAAATTCAGTGGGTGGTATTGTTTCAGGATTAAATGCAATTTAAAGAAACTTTGTTGACTGCAGATGAAGGCATGGTGGTTAACTCAGAGTGTATATCTTGAGCCTTTGCTCATATTTATCAGTGAAATAAACATGTAAATGTTGGAGCAACCAATGTCTATAAATAGTGTTGGTTACTTTTTTTTTTTTTAAGAAGTTGTTGCATAAACAATTTTTGGAATCGTTGCAAATTTTCAGTTAACGGCATGAATTTTGTTTGCTTATCAGCATGTTAAGTGGATGGCAAGCAAAAAGGGAAGTGCAGAAGCTCAGCCCTGCTCAGACTTCATTAGGCGTAATGTAAATCCTGCCCCCAAATAAAGCCCTAATTTCTTTTTTTTTTTATTTATACTCATGGTGACATTCAAATGGCAATTCAAAGTTGTTTTTTGTCTCTAAACCCTGCTGTTGAAGTCTTCAAACCAAACAATATAACTTTTGCATCTGGTCAACCATCCCTTGCCTTTTTTTTTTTACTTTTTGACATAACCTGTCATTGTGGAAGCCCTGTCTGGTCCTTGTGTTAATGTTTTGCCAAGTTTCTGTTTATTCATCTCCTCGTATCTTTGTGTCTCACTGTTTAAAATGACCAGCAGCCACCTTCTTTTGACACTCCTCTCCATTTCTGAAGAATCAAAAGTTCATTTAGTCCTTCAAGTCCTCCTTCTTCAGCTGTCTGCATGCAACCCTCCTGTTCTGTTTCTGGCAGCTCGAGGGTGGTAATTAAAGGCGTCGCAGAGGATCTCGGCCGTCACAGAATGAAAGGAGTGGGGGAAAGAAAAAAGTCGAGTCTGTTTTTGAGAGTGCCCTTATAGCACTCTCAAAGGGCTGTTGCCAAGTACAGAAGAGGGAGAGAAGACCAGAATAGTAGAATTTAGAGTGGGTAGATGTGTCCCTTTGACTCTGGTTGGTAGCTGACTGTGTATAAGATGCAGCAGTCTAGATTGGTGGGAGTTGAGGAAAGATGAGAACGTTATTGTGGTTTCTAAGAATGGCATCATATTCCTGGATCCCTTGAGCTGTTTCTTCTTTATAAAACCTACAACAAGGGAAGCAGATTCAGTTGAGACGCATTGAAATTTGTTTTTGCTCTCGTAAGCGAGAGAAACAATAATTCAGAACCAAAGTCTCGTCATTTTTGAAGAATTAAAAAGGGAGCGTGGGACTGAAGTTCTGGCTCTTGTTGAATCTTTGCCCTCTCTTTAATCCTCACCTTGTGACTATGACCTATGCAGTGATAAAGTCTGAGCCTTCTACCACCCACTCTTGTGTGTACCTAGTCATGATAGCAAGCTCCCCGCAACCCCTCCTTTTGCGCAGGCCCTCACACACACCTCCGTGTGATGTCGCTCTGAGACGGTTCCAGCCAGTTTGCGGCAGCTGGCTTTAGACTGGCGAGGACTTGGCAACGGTTTGACTGGCAACTCCCGAGCTAGTTGCAGACCAGACATTACCTGTTCTGGGACGGAGCCTTCTGAAGCCTGTGTGCGCGCCAGCCCTGCTGTGCATATTATTAGTTTCCATTTGGGTGACAGGTGGTGAATTTACAAAGTGTTGTAATCCAAAGGTGTTGTAATTTCACAGCTAAATAAAGCAATGTTACAGACTCAAAAATGTGCTGCAGGTTGCTTAGGTCAAGACCAGAAAACTCGATTACTCTTCTGCATATAACAGGTTGTCTGCACATGCAGAAATGTCTTATTTTTTTTAATATAAAATTAAGGCCTTAAAATGTCTTAAGTTCATTAGGATAAAAATGTAAATCAGCCTGCTAGTTTATCCATGCCCCTATCTAACTAGCTTTTGTACATCATGTGTAGGTACACATGTATGGTCAGTTCCCTTGACGATGTTTGTTTACACCAGTGATGCTGACAACCCAAATTTTTAAGCATGACACTCTGGTCTTCAAGACTAGATATACCTGAAGTACCTTTTTACATTTGTAAGCTTTTTGGCTTTAAATTTAACTCAGTCATATAAGAAAAAAAGTCTTAAATTTGACTTTCTGAAACCCTGTGTACCTTTTGCTCTTGTTTTTTGTTGTTTAAACATCATGTAATTAGATCAGTCTTGGTTACTGGAAGAGGAAATGATTTGTTGCATGTTTAGACATCCCAGATATGCTGGGTGTGTGGTGTCCTTCAAACAATGAGACGCCACCTACACTGCATTTAGCTAGGTGTGTCCTTTTTATTGAGGGTTTTAGTCACTCAAGTTTACATTTAAGATGATTAGAAATGGATGGATGTGCTCATTATTGCATTTTAGTGCGGACAGTGACAGTGGAGACTTTTGGCCACATTGCCATTGCGTTGTCCTTGAGTGTTACCATTTATTGTGGAGTTAATGGAATAATAAGATATATTAGGACTTGAATATATTGCTTATGATGAGGGATGCACACATTGTTCATTGTTGACCTCTAAATTTCAATACTTATCAAACTGTTATATTTAATCAAGCTTTAGAGCTACAAAAAAAAAACAGTTCACAAATAATTGTAAACATTTTAGTTACTTTTAAAATTGAATCCATTATTATTGAATTTGATTAGGATAGGGTGATTGTGTGATTTAAAAGCTATTCAACTTCTGCTTGCACAGTCCAATCAAGACTTTGAATTACTTTTTATAGCCTTTTGTTACATTTTCTATGGAGAGATTAAAAAAAATTGAGTCTCTGAAGTACAAGTATTGGGCCCAGTCATGCTCAACCAAAACTTTAGACAATATTTGTTCATCTGAATACAGCTTATAAAATATGTTGTTTAAAGGTCGTGGATTTGTTCTAATTTAAGGCACTTTGCGGTACTTTAAGCATCTTCTGCTGGCCGAGGGAAAGGAATCAATTAGTTTGGTTTTTGGATGTATACTGAGTTGGGCATTATAAGATCTAAAAGCAAGCTTTGTGCATCAGAAAGGGGGGAAATGGAAGCCAGTGGTTGGGGATTTATTTTCTATTAAAAAAAATATTAGGCAAAGGTCATGGTCTGAGGTATGAAAGGTAAGAAACAGTGAGTTGTTTTTGTTCTGAGTCAGTTTGTGTTTAGTAAACTGGAGCAGATAATTATTAGACTTTTATTGACGGAGATAAGGTTCTGACTCAGTTGGAGGACATAAATGACTGTTTACCTCTCAGATTTTGAACACAGCAAATATTGATTAAAAAGTTGACACTCTCCACGTCTTCTGACGGACAGTGCTGCTGCTGATGCACAGCACAAACTTGCGACAGAATTTAAGCCCAATGATCCATTTCTGGCTTTATTGTGCAAACGTTTCGACACAATCTGTGTCTTCATCAGTGTCACAAGTGAAGTATCAATGGTGGGTCACAGTCTAATAAGCAAGCAGTAATTACATTCTGACAATGGCATTTCTGCATTTCTGGTACTAAGTAGGATTTCAACTCGATGATCATGTGGACATGCTCTGCAGAAAAACTTTTAATATTTTGTAGTGTGAGAAACGTGCACGTCCTTTTTAATTTAAATTGATCTGTTTTAAAAGTGTGATTATGTTTAATTTAAGAATCCTCTTTCCAATCTCTCTGCAGGCTTTCTGTGTCGACTTCAGCCGTACCTATATGGCGTGTGTGACCGGGGAATTCTGCCAGGCACAGCACCTCACCTCAGTGGAGAAGTGAATCGGCCGCCCCTCGAGGGACTACGCTACCCAGAAACCTCCTTGACTGCCAGCACTTTAGGAACTGCTGAAGTTTTTTCCAAAAGGCCTCCCTTCCTCTCTGGGATATCGCGTAGTCCTTGGCCCGACTGCCCTGCCAATACGAAAAATATTTGCTTTCCACTTTCTCCTTGAACAGCCAATCACAACCAGCTCTCCTGAATGGGGTAAACTCATTGGATGACTTTTGGATAGTTTCATCCTTTTTTTTTTTTTTTTTTCTTTTTTTTTTCTCCTCCTCCTCCCCTACTACTATTTTTGTTTCAATTTTCTTTCAATTTACATTTTTCTCATCCCAGAAAACTGTGGACTAGTTTTGTTTATTTTTTTTCTCTCTGTGTGCATCATCCCTCAGTGAAGACCTATTGTTCTCCTGACCATTCTTATTCACGTCTTGTCCTTTTTTTAATTTATTCTACCCTTCCCCGATCACACAAACCTCATAGCAATCTGTACATCTGAGCCAAAAGTCGCTTTTTATTTTATGAGTATTGTAATTGTTTTTTCAAGCCGTCTCGCCAACATGAACCGCCCTGCTGCAGTCGAGATTAAACATGAGTCTATGAGGTTCCTTATCACCCACAATCCCACCAATGCTACGCTCAACAAGTTTACCGAGGTGAGAGGCTTTATTGCTCATCGACTGCATTCATTTTTGTTATGAATGTCTCCGACTTAAAGCTCGTTTTTTTGTCGTCTCGTCAGGAGCTTAAAAAGTTCGAGGTAGACACGTTGGTGAGAGTTTGTGATGCCACCTACGATAAGGCTCCAGTGGAGAAGGAGGGCATACAAGTCTTGGTGAGCGTCGTTTTTCCGGGTTTGTCTCTGCCTTCTGCAGTCATTCGTGTTGATTGGTTTTCAATTTGCTCTTTTCGCCTCCAGGACTGGCCCTTCGATGATGGTGCCCCTCCTCCCACGCAGATTGTGGACGACTGGCTGAAGCTGCTTAACACCAAGTTTCGAGAGCAACCCGGCTGCTGCGTCGCTGTGCATTGTGTGGCAGGGCTGGGCAGGTACGAATGTCTGTCGTTTTTCAGCCAAATCTCCAATTAAATCCTATGTGAATTTGCTCTTTGCTACACATTTTTCTCATCCCAGAAAGCTGGGATGAGTTTTCTGGGACAAATTCAGTTAGCTCTTTTCAAGGTTTGGAATTTTCTTGATTCCTGGATAAAGTCCTTGAAAGAGGTCATTACAAAACGGTGCAGTTTGAAAGTCAAAGTGCAATGTGAAGTCTTTTTTAAAATGTTTTGATATTTTAAGACTTCATAGTTGTTGCTCAGGTTATAATCCTCCAATCTTTCAATATTACACAATTGTCAAGTGATATTTTCTTGTCAACTTTACACATTTTTTGAACTTAAAAACACGACGGGGCCGCTGGATGAATGACCGCTGAGCGCCCAACCACCGGGTCTGAAAGTTTTCTGGGTGAAACATAATAAATTCCCCTTTAGTACAGTAACTTATTGATCTCCATAATACTATAACTAAAGGTTGTCTTTTATTTTGCATGTTAAACAGCATTATTCAAATTGAATTTTTATGTTCTAAGTGTGGCGCTGAAAATGTTTGAAACCTTACATTAAAAGAGCTTGAATGTTTTTGGAGAAGTGTATCTGTGAACAACAGCTTTTACATCTTGCTTTAGATTTCTATTTAAAGTTAGAATTGGACTTTGACTTGGCCATTCTGATACGCAAGTATATTTTAATGTAATCTTGTTGGATGTAGCCCCGCCTCCACGTTTAGGGTTTGTTGTCCAGTCGTGGGACTTTTATTGGTCAGACAAGGCTCTGTTTAATCCCCCTGTAACACAGTGACTGCTCGATGAGGTCACAGAGTTCACACTCCACTACAGAAAGCTCAGAATTGTTAAGCGTCTGAGAAGTCAACTCTTTATTTTTGTTCTAATCTTCCTGTCGTCTCGCCATCCTCTCACCCTCCGTTCTTCCCTTCGCCACCTGTTCCTTCTTCCCTAGACATGACACAGCTTGAGCCGATTGTCTTTTGTCCCAGTGCTGAGTTTCATCTTGCAACTTGAACTGTTGTGTTCTCCTCCTATTCCCTGAGGGTTCTGTAAATAAAGTCAACAGATTAGATAATCCGTTATTAGTTACAACACTTTCTGTCTGTGACTGCAAAATTAGGCAATTCGATTTTCGCTCGCCATAAAGCGAGGTTGCACGGGTAATGTGAAGTTATGCCCCGTTGCAATCGCACCTCAGTGTGACGGGGAATTGCAGTTTAGTCGTGTTGAATAGCACAAGTGTGAAAACAATGCAGGCACAAGCACATGATGTGGGCGAACTGGTGCGAAAGTGTCTTCTCAGACCACAAGTGCTCAGCACACCCAGCAGTTCTCCCTCTAGCTTCTAGGCCTACTTTTTTCTTCTTTTTGCATTGCTGTGACATTCCAGAGGTTTCGTTTTCCAAGTCTTGGTTAGAGTGGTATTTTCTGAAACCACCACCACCAGTCTTTTTCGTAGAAGTTTACTTGCAGAACTCATCTGAGGGAGTTTGGCACAGAGAACATGTCGAGAGATATTTTTGTTTGAACTTCATTTTGCTTTTCAATTTTCTAATTCGCTGCTCCTCAGAATTTGAGCTAGAAAAGTAGCCGAAGGAAATGCTCTGCTAGAGCTGAAATCTGACCTCGTCCAAGGAACTGCTATATTTATTTACTTTTTTTCATCCCATCTTCTCTCTGGTGAGCGAGGAGTTGGCTGTTTTACTGTAACTTATCACAAAGTACTAGTACAGCGGCTCAGTAGGGCGCCTGTGAACTTGTACACCCCTGTAGATTTCCCAGGCCTGTTTCCCAGGTTTACCTTCCTCCCCCTGTTTTATTACCAAGGAGCCCTGTGAACCTTGGCATTTCATCTCTTGTTCTCCCTGTTCTCGCTTAAACCAGACTAATATGGATTCCTTTACCTTTCAGAGCTCCAGTCTTGGTGGCCTTAGCCCTCATTGAGGGAGGAATGAAGTATGAAGATGCCGTGCAGTTCATAAGGCAGTGAGTACTAGTCTTAGCGCTTTACAAACTCATAACATAATTATTTCTTTATGGACTGAGATTTGGTTAAAAGGGTATAAGCAGTGGATGAGTATATTTGCATCTTTATTGATATAAATCCAGCTTATCTGGTTGTGGAGGCTGCAGCTAATGGGTTGTGTAAGTTTTTTGGAAATAAAGAAGACTTCTGTAGTCTTAAAATGACTGAATCCTTACGAACTTCATAGCAGTTTACACCAACACTCTTTATTTTATGACATCAGGAGGCTATTTTTGCAAAGAGGCCACTGATTATGTTCACAGCAAATGAAGGTAGGTGGTGTGCCACTAGCAATCTTCCTACATGAAATGTGTTCTTGGACACCAACTATATCATTTTCCAATTAAAATGTCCATGTTTAAAAAGTATTAAAAACTTAGCATTTAATGGAGAAAGGCATTAGCCCAAAGTTGCCCACTCTTCACTGCAAACCTGCAAAAGTATTCTTCTACTAAAGAGTAAGCCATCTTGTTTCGGTATCCTACCTGCTCTTTCACTGTCTCTGCAACACAGATTTCAAACTTTTATTAATGCCCATTTTTAATGACACTTATGCTCTAACTGTAGCAAAGGGTCAAATCATCCCCAAAAATCTGTTAAATATTATTTGTAGCTTTTTAAGCTAACATTGTATTGCTTTTTACACTTTGTTTCATTGGATGATTATTGGGAGTGCGCAGCCTTCTACATCAATTTTCTGTGTAAAAATAATGGTTATCTGTAAATTACTATCCGACACAAACATGATAATTGGTTAAAGTTATACAACAGCATTGGCATAAACTACTTTGACATGTTTGACTTTTGACAATTTAAACGTGCTGCACAATATGCTTGTTTAAGTTTAGCTGTAAGCTTTAGCTGCCAGGTTTCACCAGTTGAAATTCATACCTTTAAAGATAGTAAGTTATCTGCTGCAGATAAGTCAAAACTGGCTTTTTTTTTTTTTACTTTTTTTTTATTAACCTCATTCCAGAAATTCTCCACTGTCTCTTTAAAGAACCCTGCATGGTTGGAAAATGAACCTTTTTCATGTGGCTGATCTGGTAGAGATGAGCTAATGAGTTGTAGACACATTGTTGGTCTTGCTCCTCTGTCCTCGTTGTCAGTGAGAAATGGTCAATAAGCAAAGAAGTGGATTACTCTAAAAGGTTAATAATTCCTCTGAGTTTGAGTGTGTGCTTTCCCAGTTTAGAACTAAAACTTCTTTCCTGTTTTTCTTTTTTTTGTTTGTTTCTTTTCCTGTAGGAAGAGACGTGGAGCCTTCAACTCCAAACAGCTTCTTTACCTCGAGAAATACAGACCCAAAATGCGTCTGCGGTTCAAAGATAACGGCCACAACTGCTGCGTGCAGTAGGCCGTCCGTCTGTGCGTCTGCTTTCAATGCACATCTAGTTCGGAATCTTCCAACAAAGAGGAGATAATAACAAAAAAAAAAGAGTGCTATCAGTAATTGTTGTGATGATTTGTAAACACTGAGTCATGGTTAGTTGATCTGAGAGAAATCGAATGATCAAACAAAATCTGGGGAAGTCCACCAGCCGAACCAATGAATGGAAGGTCAAAGCACACAGATGGGCCCGCCTCCCGGTTCTACAGCTCAACCAAACCACGGGCCAGAATTTTATTTTATTTTATGCTTTTTTTATTTTTCTTTTTGTCCACTCGAGTCCATCCTGTACTTGTCTTTTTACTTTTTGTTTCTTCTTCTTCTCACTTTTAGTTGTAATCATGGGATATTTTACCTTCCATTATGTGAATTTTTTTTTTTTTTACACATACATGGTGATGAAATGTTTTGATTCTGTTATTTCCTTTCATTGCTATTTGGCCTCTTTTCTTTTTTTGTTAAAGAAAAAAAAAAGCATTTTTAAACTTTGAACACATTTCGATTGTGTTTTTTTGTTTTTGCACAAAACTCAAAAGGTTCACCCTGAAAATGCAGTAATGTTTTGTTTGTTTTTGTTTTGGTATTTTTTATTGAATTTTTTTCGCTCCTCACTTGCTTCGAGTCACTTTCAGTTTAGGGCCTCACTGAGTCTGAATATGTCATATTTATTCGCAATAGAACTGTGGCAGTGTTGAGTTTGGCAGGGGCAAGGACACTTTGTTATCCAATTTTTCTTATTTTATCTTATTTTTTTAAGTAACTATGTAAGAGCCATGACTTTTTTTTTTTTTTTTTCCTTCTTCTTATAAGTCTTGTTGGAGTGCAATAATCAGTCCACCTCAGATAAGCCCATCAGACCCTGCTGAGCATTCCTCACACATTTTACATGTACGCAGACCTTTCAGACAGGAAATAAGAGCTGCTCCAGCTGGTACTCCTCCAGCTGTCATTCATTTTACCAAATGGGGAGGTGAGGGCTGAGGGGAGGAGGGGGAGAGGGGGATACAAGATTTTCCAAACAAATATGCAGATTTCAGCTCACTCACTGAGCCCAGGATCTGGTTTGACAGATGGGGTGGAGGAGAATGGAAAATGGTCAGTTTTTTAATTTCTTTGTCTGTTTTTTTTTTTTTTTTTTTTTTTCTTCCATCATTGTACCCATTTTGAAGACATCCCCCCCGATTCGTATTGGTTCTTTAAAGATAAATAAATTGAAATAAAAAGCATTCTGGTGGTTCTCATTCTTTTTATTGCAGTTCATATCTGAGGGATGTTATTTATTTACAGGCTTGTTTTTGTGAGGACAAAATCAATTTCCTTTGGTGGCAACATTGTGAGTTTTTTGTTGTTTTTCTGAATTGCTCTGCTCTTTATGGCAAAGTATTTCTTAGATGGGACCTGCTCATCATGCATGTCAGTCAGGAGCTGTCCTACATGTTCTTTCCCCTGTGGAGGGTGACTCACCACCACGTGGAAGGCACAGGACACCGTGGTACTGAGAAATGACTCACTAGATCTCAAATGGATCACGACTCCGTGCAACGCAGGAGACAAATCAAAGCGCGCCCTCTGCTGTTGAAGTCGTGTAATTGCACTCAGGAAACTCCCCCTCCCTCCAAACTTGTGTTCTTGCACTGACTGCCCTTACAACTCCAACGACGTTGGCTTTAATTATGCACAGTTTAGTGAACTGCTTGGTATGAGGATGATCAGCGAAGTGGGAACGTGCTGACTGCCAGGGCACTGACAGCACCTCAGTCACAGCCTGTGCTCTCAGCAATGTTGCAGAGCGACAAATGCCTCGCCAAAGCCTGCTTTAAATACAGCTGAATGCCATCCACGATGAAACCTGTGCCAAGTGAGACAAAATTTGCATTCAGCTCGTTACTTATCGCTCCCGTTGTTGTGTGGCGCCTTTGTTGAGTAGCAGATTAAGTTACAGCCTAACAGGAATAGAACTGGTGGTAGAAGGGTTCAGGAAGGAGTTTGTCTTGTCCTCGGTGACCTTCTACAAGGCAAAAAACAAACGCACTCGAGTTGTACAGAGGGCATATTTCTAAATACTGAATACAGTCACTATCAGAGGCAAATCAGGAGAAAGACCCTCTTCACAGGTTGATTGAAAAGTTTATATATTTTTTTTCCAACGGACTTTGCGTCTTCAGTCTGTTGGTGTCACAAAAAGCTAAAAAGATCTTTGAATTGTAGTAGCTGTGAGTCAGCATGATCTCATACTGAGTCATGCTTGCAAAGATAAAGATCAAAGCCACAAACCTGTTGCAGCAACATCAGGGTGGCTTTGTGTTTCTCAACAGGTCAACATTTCTTTTCTCTTTGCAGTGTCCGATGCGCCACGTGAATCAGGGTCACCTTTTGGGTTCACTTTGCTCTTTGACTGCTGCAAACAATCTTTCTTCAGAGATTTAACGGCTCGGTGTAAAATTAACAGGCTCTTCTAATTCGAACCAATCTCCACAGCTGCTGCCGAAAGTATTCATGCCTCTTTGTCACATTTCCACCACAGACTTCAGTGTGTTTTACCTTCTCAGGTACGTCTCTTATACCCTTACATTTAGAAAGACTGAAAATTCAACAGAATTATACAATGAAGCTCGTGTGCAATGAAGATTGCTTCTATCAATTTTCAAGTCACAAGTCCAGGGGTATGAAAACATTTGCAAGGCTCTGGGCACCTTCAGTGTTTCCAGGTCAGACACCAACTTATTTTTCAGGCCCAGTCAATGAAAATGTTAAAAGTAAGTGAGATATATAAATAAAAGAGAGAAACTCCAGGGACGTTTATTTGAGTGAAGGATGATTATTAGTGCATGATTATTCTCATCCTCTCTGTGACATTTGCTTTGAACGGTATCTCAATTTTTAAGATTCAATTAACCGCAGAGTGAGGTGAGGAGACTTGGGAAGACATTTCATTCTCATCTTAAAGAATTTGAAAAGAGAGATGTCAAAAGCATTTATTTCTTTTTTAAAAACTTTTCTTTTAATCACATCTTGAAATCAAGTCTTTTGCCAGATGAACTTGGATGCTCATTTTTCCTCATGCCTGCTTCATAGACGTTTGAGAAATTGTACAGTTCGTTCTCAGCTTTATTTATAAAGTACATTTCAAAGAGCTCACTGAAATGCTGCACAGTGGAATAAATTGTTGCTCTTGGTCGTATTCTCTCTTACGCAACAACTCTGGAGGTGGCAGCTCTGGACTACAGGCCAGATCACATTATTATAAAGCCGTCTAATATGCAATAAATGTAGTTTGGCGCTGTGAAGCTGAGATACAGCACGACTCGGTGCCCCCCAAACCTGGATGTATCGTTTATGATTGCCAGTGTTTTCTGAGGCGCCATTGCTCAAAGCTATATGGAGTGCGATAGTTCAGTGAATTTATCACAACAATAGCACACTTTGAGCTCTTTGTGCAAACGCAAAGAGCACCCAGCAGAATCCTGGTCGAACAAAAAGAGACCAGGCTTTACAGTGGCATGAAATTTGTGAGCTTTGCTTGATTTATTTAAATTCCAGTTGGAAGAGATGATTAGTTCTTCAACTGTTGAGACATTAACACACTCTGACACAGTCTTGTAAATCATAAAGGTCCGTGCGTTCATGCCAGCACATCGGGAACGCCGCAACCTCAATTCCACACCAAAAACACAAGGAAAAAGTGTAGAGATTAAAGGACCGAGGATTGTGAATCGAGCTTGCCATGTCGAGGCATTAATCTTCTTGATCGGGAGTTGACAAGACGGATGTTCTCGCTGGATGTGTTTTGGTGTCATTGTTTTGGTGAAACATTGGCTTCAAGGGCATTTCATCTACCGCATAAGGCATCATGAGCTCCATGGGTATTTTGATGCTGTCAAGCTGATCTATGATCCTGGCTTGTACCTAGAAACTGAAGCCATATTAAGAGAAAAGGAGTGACACTTTGCCAAAGCTTTCTGCTGGTAGTTCAAATAGCTGACAATTTGAACACCTTGGAGCTGATCACTGGCTAAGTCTTTACTTTTTTATTGATTTTTTTTTTTTATGAATTCAAAAGCCAGTTTGTTAGCTTTCTTCCACAGCTTTCTAGCTTTGTTTCCAAACATTTCAGCAGACCGGGACCTTCACGTGTTTTCCTTCATCCAGCCGGCTTTCTAATCAAAGCGGACAGTTCTCCTGAACGATGATTTGTTTGACACCGAATGAATCACCTCGCTGATTAAACTCCACACTGCTATCATTTCGAGCACAATCCGTCTTCAATTAATCGTTCGGTTACACAAAATCAACAGCAACCGAATGCCTGTTAGGCCTGTTGCTTTCTACTCCTCCACAATACGAAACATAAGGAAAACATGGCTTAATATGGCCAGTGATATCAGTTTGATTTTATTTTCGGCAGCATGCTATCAGAATAAAATATCTATAAAATCGACGAGAAATATTTGTGCGTGGGTGGATCAAGAGAACAAGGGCAGTTGTTTCTCTATTTGCTTTACATAAGCTACAGGAGTTAAAGGCCAAAGGGGTTTTGACTGCCCTACAAGAAGAGCTTGATCTCTGGCAACTCTCCCACTTTCTGCAGAGCCGATCTAGGCCAGCACCAGCAAGCAGCCGACTCTCTGAGATTCCATTGTGAATTGTGGCCCTTTAAAAATGCATGCTCGCTCTCGGCTCTGTATCTTTAATGAGGTGTGTCTGAAATATTTGATAGGCCTCGCACTCATTTGAAAAACAAATACGTTTATTTCCATTAATATTTGATACGGAAATGAATATATGTAAAACACATACATTAATTAGTCTGTTTTGATCAATTGTCTCTGTCAAAACGTGGAGCCTGTGTTTCCGCTCAGTTACTCCCCACAGGCGATGCTGCGGCAAATCTTTCCCTGTTGCTCCGGAACAAAAGAACCATTTAATTTTCAAAGATTTAGCTGGGCTTTTTTTTTATGTAAGTTTGTGAACACTCAAAGAAATTATGTGCTCACTCAGCAGTGGAGCTGATTTATAAAATGGGAGTCACATTACAATGTTTGCATTTTCAAAACTGTGATAAATAAGGAAAAAGGAAGCCTAGCGTTGAAGTTTGAGCTACAGTATGGCACTGATTTTACTTTGAAGGCTCTGAAGGATGACTGCTTTGACCATGCAGGTCTTAGTTGATGTTGAGAACATTGAGGTACAACTTTATTTCTAAAATGAGATGGAGCTTATTTTTAAGCTTATTTTCTTCACGTTAGTGGATCCCACACATTTTCTACTGGAACTAACATTTTAATTCTCCTGGATTCGTTTTTTATTTTATTTTTTTTCAGTTTTGATTCCCAGTTTCGATTTCCAGCCACATTTAAGTCGGATTGAAGAGGCCGCTGAATCCCAACGAAGAAGAATTAGCTGCAGTGTGTTCGCAGAGGCGATAGAGGGTTTGCCTTCACTTTATTTAAAGAGCAGCTCAGTGAAATATATGCAGACATGCTTAAACACCTCTAGATTCATAGTGTACAATTAATATACTCAATTTTCTGGTATTTACCACCTATAAAAAGCTGTGGTAATTCTAGCTGAATTAAAACAGGAACATTTGTGTGAGATTCAATGTCTAGCAGTGAAAGAAAAAAAATAAATGTAATGTGCATTTTTATGAAGTCAAATTATTTGCTACAAAGCATCATAAAATTACATTTCCAACAAATGCATTCTCTCCCTTCGCCACCAGATGGTGATGAAGATCCAGCTTGGCAGTGTTGCAGTACCGGTGCTGAACAGCAGGGCGCAGTGCTAAGACACCGCGTTCTCAGGCGCAGTGTCGATGTGTGTGATGCGTTTCGTCGCTGGCAGCCTCCTCGGACGGCTCCAGTCTGGTGAGTCACTCTGCCACTGTATTCAGGATGTTTGGATTCAGCAGCTGAGGCCACGCAGTAATTAATAACCACATGTTGGTGTTGGTAAAACAAGCAGAAAGAGAGAGTGAAAGGAGCGCGTTTGACTTCTTCTGTGACTCAACCTACCTGACTCAGAGAGCAGAGACCGATGGGAGGAAAATATCTGTCTGACTGCAGAGGCAGCAGGGGCTGACAGCAAATTATTATGTTTGCCTTTTTTTTTTTTTTTTTTAATTTTCTTTAATGCTCCTTCAAAGAGATGACGTTGCCTTCAACGCATCTTGTTTTCAACCAGAAACAGTTGACACGATCCTCAGATGGCTTGCCAGAATAATGGGGGAATAAAAGGTGAGGCTTTGCTGATGTCACTAGACAGACAGACAGAGAAAAAGAGAGAGAGAGAGAGAGAGAGAGAGAGAGAGAGAGAGAGAGAGAGAGAGGAAGAGAAAAGGAGGGAAACCTTTTATGCGGTGAGCTTGTTTGGAAGGGAACAGCTTCAGATTGGTGGATCTCATTGTGCCTTGCTCGTTTTCTGCCCTTGGCTTGATCGCAGGGCGCCCGGCCAGCTTTGATGAGGACGAGTAGATGTTGAATGACAGGCGAAGATGGTGCCAGTCAATCAGCCCCGTCCCCCAATTCTACTTTTACTCTCCAAGGAGAGGAAGACATGTGTCATCCTCCCGTGTGGAATCACACCACTCCTCCCCTCCTTACTATACGTTTGCATTTTCCTTCTGTCTCCATTATTCATCCCTGCTGGTTGAGCTCTACAATATTCTATTTTTGAACTCCTTCTCACTGCCTTTATGCACCTGTTTGCTTATCGGCCTTGCTTTCATCTTCACCGTCAGCCACCACTCCCCACTTCTCCCTATCCCCCTTTCTTGGGGTTGCAGTGGAGGAGGGGGAGGTCGGGCGTGGATTTACAGCCCGGCAGTGCATCACTGTTTTAATCTGGACTCCCCTATTCCCTCGATTCCCTTTCTCTGGAAGCTGGCAAAAGAGAAAAAAAATAAAATGAAGAAGCACATGCAGTTTTTTGCAAAGGTAGTCGTAGGCCTTGAAATGCAATTTTACAGCCACAATCTTTCATGTGTGATTAACCAACACAAAGTAATTATGGGTTAAGTTATGACACAAAATCGTCTCTCACAGCACTGCTGAATCCATTAGTTGAATGTGCACAGCTACCAAAACATGGCCGTACATCTGAACTGAGCATTAATCACAGAGGCACCCAAAGAGAGTATTGCAGCTCTGGAGAGTCTGGAGAGAACAACTCCTCACAGGGGTTGATCTCTCCAGACCCTCCAGATTAGATGGATGCTGTAAAACTCTGGTCCTTTTTTTTTTTTTTTTTTTTTTAGTGGTAACCAGCAAGACATCACAGACATTGCAAAAATATAAAGAACACATTTTACATGCAAGACTTGATCTTTCTTTGCACCATGCAAAGTGGTGGCAGCATCAGGGGGTGTGGTGTGTGTGTGTGTATAAAATCTAATTTTTAAAGGGGTATTTTTCAGACACATACTTCCATTTTAAAGCACAGTAAAGTAGCTATGTTGCCTGTCAGTTGATATAAAAATACTATATATTTAAAACATGACAACATAAATTTGACTAACACTTTGAAATTGGGTCTGGGTCCCTTTAAGAAGCTTTTACCTTTTCAATAGTTCGCCTTCAGCATGTCATGACGGCAGTGCTTCTCATACTGCTGTTGACAACCATTCTTCTGTGTGTTTGACTAAGAAGTACCGTCGTGTAGTTCTCATGATCAGCTGAGCAGACATGCAGTTCCACCGGGTGTTTGCCAATTGCTACTGCCGCTCGGCAGGGGGTTGCGTTTCAGCATCCCTGAATGGCTGCCAGAGATTCAAGGATTCCTCAAACTTCTATGAAAGAATCAAAGCAAAACCCGAGCTACGCTTTTGATGGAGGAATAACATTTAAGATGATGTAAAGCTCAGTTTTACAGAATACACTCTCTTTGATCTAAATAAAAAAATAGATAAATAAATAAAAATAAACCGTCTATAATGATAATGACGTAGCAACAGAGAAGATGAGAAAATTGAGAAATGGTGACGAGTCTGTGTCCGCATTTCACACCTCATCAGTGAGCAGTCGAGGTGGACCGCTTATAGACTTGACAAGCAGAAAGGCTGGTTCTGTGAAAATATTCGTCATCATTCATCAAAAAACTCTAGTCACTGAGGAGAACCAGGAGGCAGAGCTCCACCAGGCCAGCAACATGCTGCAGAGGAAATAATGCATTACTACAAAGGTGCATTTTCAGACTTTTGTAAGTTGATATTCGTGTCTCTTGTCTTCTCCAGTTCATCAATGAGCTGTTAATACGGTTTGTCTTGTTGGAAAATGCTACATGAAGAACACGGAAAGGATCAGTCAAACTGCCGACCTGGCCAAAAATCTACATACGTCACACTCTTGGTGCCTGTAGGGAATGTTGTGTGTGTTAGAAATGTAAAAATGAACAAGTTGACTGTTTATGTGCAAATATACCTCCAAACACTTGAAACTGTAAAAAAGGAAAAAAAAAGGAAAATGGAATAAAAATATAATCTTCCTTCCATGTTTGTTTGTTTTTTTTTATATTCCTTGCTATTATGGGTTCCCAAAACGTGATAAAGTTGAAGGGGCTTGAATATTGTGGTGAAGCCCCGCAGGCAGCCAGCGGATGTACTTTATTTGCTTGTTTTTTTTTGGCGGTGCCATTTAGCCAGCTGACCCTCATTTCTTTGCCCACTATGATGAGAATGCCACAGCAAACAGAGCAGACAAGTTTGGCCGGAAGCATTTTTCCCTATTTTTTAACACACTTGTCAGCAGCTATATCAGAAGGCCCAAAACTGCCAGGGAAAGGCCAATGCATCCCAACACTGCAAGTGTTACGTGGCTGCTTCAACAAGCACTGCGTCTAATTGGCTGCGTTTGAGTTTTCCATTCATTAGCAAGTTGGTGCCAAACCATTCCATCACACAGGTATGAACATTTCCTTGATTTTGATCTTTGTTGTTTTTTTCTCCCTGACCTTTTTTTTTTTTCCTTTCCCTTACATAAATTTTACTTCAACCCACTCCGGGAGTCATCTGAGCATATCCCCCACTTTAGCACGGATCCGATTTGCCATGGAAACCAACGTGTGAAGAAAAGTGTTGCGTCTCCACGCACACAAGTACACAACTTGTGCTCCCTAATTAACAACAATTCTTCAGTCCTCGCCCACCTTTGAAGACGTAAGATGTAGGCAAATTAGTTCTGACCTCTTGAATTATGCATGCACTCACAATCATACAACCATCAGTTACTATATTAATCTGTTAAATAACTTTAAAATGACCTAATGTGTTAAAAAAACAAAGGAAGGTCATCCATCCATGCTGGCGCCTATCTCCAGTTAACGTTCCGGGCGCGAGGCGGGGTCACCCTGGACAGGTCGCCAGTCCATGCATGCACAGGGAGAACATGCAAACTCCTCGTAGAAACTCCATGCCATGAACCGAACCCAGGACCTTCTTGCTGCAAGGCGACAGTGCTACCAAACTGCACCACTGTGCAGCCCAAAAGAAGATCAGGAGCTTCATAATTGTATTATTAGGTAATAATTCACATTTTGTCATAAATGTTACAATGAGCATCTAACAAAGTGAAATTTTTGCTACACATGTGCATTTAGTTCCCTTAGTTTTAGCCAAAATCTTTGAATACTCAACACTGCAATGCTGGATGAGTTGTACATCAAAAAACCTGAACCTTTAATTGCAGCAAAAGTTGTCTTCTCCAGGTTCATGGGAGGGTGGAAGCCTATGCCAGCACTCATTAGCTGGGAAGTGGGATCTGGTCAGGTTCCTTGTCCATCACAACACAGAGGCCAACATTCTGTGTCTCTCTTCTAGGCAAAGCTGTTGGCTGAGCTTTTGCTGCAACTAACTGAATGTGCTCTCTTTCACTTTACAGCCTTTAAGAGCCACTCAGAACTGATCTGCTAAGATGTTTCTCTCCTAGACGAAGCCACTGAAGGAGCTACAACTGCCATTAACTTATTTTTCCTCTAACATAGAAAATAGTCCTGGATGAGGGCTTCTGTTTTTCTTTTTTTTTTGTGTGTGTGTGTAGGCCTATATATGCTCTGTATTCTCAAACCTCCAGGTGGTTGTGGCAGGCGACTCTTCACACTGAGCCGCATTCTTCAGGAGATTTCTTCCTGTGAAAAAAAGAGTTTCCCTCTCCACTGTCGCTATATGGGTTTATAAACTGGACTTCACTGCATTGTTTGTTTTATCCACTGAGTTGTGCAATGGGTGGTGGTCATGTGATTATTTGTTTTTCCTACTTTCCTTTTCCTCAGGATGTGACCGGCAGGTAAAGCCTCCAACTTGTGCTCATCAGCTGCAATCAAGGGAACGGTATTCTGAAGAGTGATTTCTCTGCTAGATCGTTAACCTACATTCTTTGAAAACCGGTCAACTAGTTGCTCTGTTCATTAAGATTTTGCTTATAGCTTCTGGTGCTTAACTCTTCTGCCTTTTCTGTTCTTTTGCAGCCAGTGCTCTATTGAAGACCCACTCCTCGACCTCCAGACATGTTTCTTATGCCACATCTAGCTTTTCGTGTGGATCGTCCTCTGAATCCTCGTTTGCCGGGATTGAACTCTCTGCATTGCAGTCTTTTCAGCATATTCACTTTGGAATAAACCTGGCAAACTAGAGTTTCCAATATAATCATCAGGGCATTGTTGGAAATAGGGTTAACTGTATACCTGATTGAAGTGACGTTCTCGTTTTTGTAAAGTGTCTTGAGATGATGTGTTGTAAACCGACACTCTAAAAAAGTTTATTAAAATGCTAAATCATATTGTCTGCAGAATATGGTAGACTTTGTCACAAAATGTCTTCATCTGCATTAAGGTACAAAAAATAGCAGTGTGTATCTGAAAAACCCCCCATAATTTTGGTGTTTCTAAAACATACTTTCATAGGACTCCAAGTTGAAACATTTGTGTATTTATATAAAACCTTTCTCGCTTGATTGATACGTAAGGAATGCAATTGAAGTTGCTCGAAGCTCTATAAAAAAAAAAAAATTCTTCAATTGAAATTCAAATTTAAAAATACATTATCCCAAAGGGAAATCAAATGTCGTAGCTCATTATTTTGATGGGTGTCTGAGCTCTATGCTCTGTTTTGCATTGCCACTCGAAAGAAAAGCATCAATAAAACAAACATGTAGCTAATATCCTCCTCTGTGAGTATCCATGATAGACCACCTTTTGGAGACAGACTGTTAAAACTCCAACAGTGTTATCCCCCCTGGTGTAATCTGCCTTGGCAGACAGTTGATCTCTGCAGAATACAATCACTGCCAAGGAATCAGGCTTGAATGGCAACACTCCTCTGTTGTCCCCCACTGACAATAACCGGGCCGGGTCCATCTCTGCGGTCTGGCTGCTTATCAGAACAAAGGCATCAGCTATTCTCCCGTAGCATAAACCGACCTACAACACTGAATCCCGACATCTCTGGGATGCTTGTTTGTTTACGTACATTAGACCCAGTAATGCTAACACGCAATAATGGTAAAGTCATTGCCCCGGAAAGGGTTTCTGTTTCGGAGCTGCCCCTCTCCAGCATTACTCTGGATATGATGCTTTGCTCATTGACTATTGCCATTGATATTACAGGGAGGGGATGAGAGGGGGGCTGGAGAGGTGATCTGACTATTATCCCTAAGCTACTCCTCTATTGTAGGCAGATCAAAGGAGTACTTAAGCCGGGCTGCTGGATGTGTGCATACCATGTCACTGTAGAAAGGATGCTCAAATGTGAAATGAAATACTATCCATTAATAGATGAAAGGTTGCAGGCCCAAATCGTCAGACTGAAGTTTAAAAGGGCTAATCAGGCCCCAAGCAATTTCGAGCCATGTTATTACAGCAGAGGTCCGGCAACATGTACAAACCTTTTTTCTATTTTTATAGAAGGGGGGTTGACATTTTGAGTGAAGAGTAAAGGGCTGCCATATAATTATTTTCTTTCTTGTGTGCATGGCGTTAAGGAGATGCGGGCATTATTGTCTGTGCTTAATCCAGTGTTGAGAATTAAAAGCAAAAATAATTCCTCAAGTTCAAAGAAGTGCAAATGTGTAATCTCATAGTTTAAAAATAGGTCAACGCTAATACCCAAATTAGAAAAAAAAATTACTTGCAGTTGTGTCTTATTTATTTATTTTTTCCTCTTAATAAAATCCGCCTGCTGAAAACAACCAAACGTCACAGTGAGGGGGTCATTTGTCTCTTTGATATTAAAACAATTCAGTTTAGTTTGTCTGATGGTGGTCATTTCTTAGGTGATCATTTTATTAAAGGCAATTATCTGTAAAACCTTAAATTTGATGCCCCGGGAAGCACAGCCCTTTCTACTTTCTTCTTCAAGAGGAACTTCACACATTAATTGCTAAAGAGTTTTAAGAGTCTTGGTGTCATTTTTTTTTTTTTTACAAACGGTTCTACTCTGCAGCGAGAATTGGACAGATAGATCAGGTCTGCTAAGCTGTAATGATGGTGGTGTTTCAGTCCTATCAAAATGGTGGGAAAAAAGAACAGAGTGCAAAAACCAAAACTGAAAATCTCCTAATTTGCTTGTCCATATATGTTGCGACACTTTCCATGTCCAAAAAATATGAGATTCCAGACAGAAGCTGTTTAAATGGAGTTTAAGCGAGCTTCCTCCAGTTGGGTGGCTGGGTTTATCCTTAACAAAACACTCTTAAGTTGCTCCTTCCTTTCAGGTTGTTCGTGGTGCATCCCACTAAAACTAGGCCTGGAAGCAGACACTGTGTACTGAAGGGCCTAGATCAATAACATTTCTGATTAAGAAAAGGTGGTGGATGGACAAATCTTCTCTGCAAAATTGAGGCAAACTTAAACAGATCTGATGTTATTTTGAACTCTGCTAAGAATCGCTACATTTCATAGGTTTCATCAGGTCTCATTAGGGCTTTAAGTTGCACCTATTCTTTAACATTCTGTACAATTCTCTGAATAATCTTTGCTTAATTTAGAGATTGAAATTATAAGAAACTGCTAATATTTTTAAGCCAAGAATTTGGGACTTTTAATGCCAATACTTCCCATCCAAATTAAGCTTTTTAACAAATGATCCAAGACCTTGGCGTATAATCTTAAAAAAAAGAAAAAAAGTTTTATAGAGTTTCCTCAATAACTCCTAATTCAACGTTTAATTTATCGTGAATTAATTGGAGCGCATTTCAAAAGCGTAGCAGGCTCTGAACTCGCAGAATAAGATGATTGACTTTTAAGAGGCCTATTTGAAATTTATTGACATCCATCTAAATAAAGTGTTTTTATATGGGGCTTTGGGGTCATAAACACTGCAGGGTTGTAATACCCAGAGACAAATTCTGAGGAGTAAAATGTTGGTTTAGTTCAGCCTCACTAAGAAGGCTTTCTGCAAAAGTCTTGTCAGAGTGAAAGGTGGGCAAGAAAAGTCACATTTCTGAGGGACTATATTGTTACAAAATGTATTACTAAAATATGAAACACTAGATGTGCCCACTTCATCATGGGCTGACACCAGAGGTTTGCGACAAGGTTACTTTTTTTGCCTTCAGAGTGAAACAGGCCCTTCAGAAAAGTGTGCACAGGTACAAACATTTCTGTAAGTTACTACAGAGTTTTTGACAACAACACCTTAAAAAAATGAGGGCATATGTATTATTATAGAATGCAGATGTAATAAATTAAAAAGAAGACATCCTTCTTGAATAGGATGTGTACACAATGTTCAAATTATTGTGCAACTTCAAGAATCATAAAAACAAGATATATATGTTTTATGTTACATCCAGAATATAATTTTGTATCCTGCTTTCTAATAAAACACACTTAATGACAGTCATTGAGCAGAAAGAAGCTCCATTAATGTAACTTAAATGGAGGCGCGATTGATGCACAGATCATATCAATTCATCTGTATGTTCTTTTAGGCAACTTAAATCTCCACAAATATGTCTTCTGTGTTTACAAAATGTTTGAAAACCTTTTAAACGTCAATAATTAATCAGTGCAACTCATGAAAAACATTTATTTCAATTAAAATAAATGTTTTAATTGCAAACTAAACTCCTGTCTACGCTTCCAGAAAATGAGTCATTTTGCAGCCATGTGCTGGTGCACGGCTGAGCACGTCAAACTAGCAAGGCTGGTTGATACTGGCACAGTTTTCAGTCCATAATTTTTTATGTTTCAGTTTACAAGCTGACATTTGCCATCGTGATAAGTTACAGGCAGGCTAATCTTGTGTCAGAAGGCTTGTAAATACTGTCACAGAGTACCGGTTTGTTAAGTCTCCAAGCTGCTGCAATCAGACGACATTTCTCCTGACTTCCAACTACTTCCTGTCAAGATCTCAATTTAAATGTGCTCTTTAAGAAGTTAGAACATAGCAATGTCGCTATCACCTCTTTGTCTTTGGTGTTGTCATCACAAACCAAACATCACTCTTTGACATCTTTTGTCTATCTTGTCTGCCACGTGCTTGTGTTTGTTGTTTCTTGAATTTATTAATTCATTTATTTTTTATGCATTTCTGGATTTCACTGCGAATGACTATTTCAAACCACAACTCTGCAAACACACACACGCATACAAAAAAGAGATATTTAGATATATTTTCCTCAACACTCTAAAAGGGCATCCAGTTAGATATATTTAAGCCAGGGATCTGCAACCTTTACAAACATAAAGAGCCATTTTGCTCTCAGGACAAAGATAAAACTCATTCAGAGCTACAAATATTAAATAAAATAAGAGAGACAACCTTGTAGTAAAATATCTCAGAAAATATATTGTCATTTTTAAAAAGCTGGTGATCTATTTCTATTTTTAAGATTTAAAATAAAGATTGACCAACGATGGATATTTTATTTAAAAGCCTTATGGATTCCAACACAATGACAAGGAAAACATCTTTAAAGGCATATTGCTGGCACCTTTAGTGTCTTTGGAGCAATTTATTTAAAATATCGGAGGAAAAAATTCAAACATCGTTAGAAACCAGAGTTTCTTATTGGAAATGTATTTAAAAAACATAAACTGGCTCATTTTAGTTATTGAGAGCCATTGTGGAAGGTCCAGAGAGTCACTCGCAGTTCCAGAGGTACAAGTTGGATACCCCTGACTTAAACTAACATTTATCAAGTTGTTCTGACTTTTTGTTTTGTTTTGGTCAGTTCCTTTTTTTTTTTCCGCTTAAACTTTTTTTGTGTGTGTAGGAGGAAGGTACGAGTCAGTGGCATTTGTTGATTGCCGATAGTCAAAGCACTGCATGCAGCAAGGCTTGCATACTTAATGCCGGAAGCCTGAAACTTCCGATTGCAATCAGGAGGACTGTGCGAAGACGGCGAAGGCAGGGAGCAAACAATAATACATCCAAACCTGAACAAGTGCGGTTGACATCGGGAACCAGACACAGAGAGAGGGAAGGAGGATGTGTGGGGTGAAGAGGAGGCGTGAATGATAACAGAGTCTAAACAGTGAATCTCCCACCACAAACATTCACAGTGATCTCTAAATGCATGTATAACTCAACTCTGTTTCTGAGCTGCAGCTTATATAGAGGCTTTGTATAAGCCTGTTTAGTATTCCGTCCACTTACTGCACGACATAGCTGCAGACGCCCAGGATGTCAAGATGTATAACAGGTTTCCTGGTTGGGGCAGTAATAGGAGTAGCTGTGGGGGAAATCAGCAGCTGACAAGAGGTTGAGGAAGGGATGAACCTATCTTCATGCAAATC